AGGTCCAGTTCTATTGTCCTGTAGGTCACTAACTAGATTTGGATCTCCATTTCCAACAAAGAGGAAACATCAACCTTCCCATTACCTGATGGTTTACAACGCTGGGGACTGCAGCACTGATCTGTTTAACCCTTGTGACACATCTCTACATCCGTCTTAGTTTACTAATGGGAACTATGTTTATGGTAACTCTAGAGTGAATGGCTTGTTCACCTTTGTGAGGAGTTGGGAGCACGTACCCCTATTCCTGGATTGACGAACTACCCTGAAGGGCATTTCCAATTAGCTACAATTAAGAAGGAAAATGTAAGCCCTTTTCATGAATACGGGGGTGGCTCTGAAAAGAGCCTTTGGTTAAAACTGTCCCCTCAATGACCTAAGGTGCTATTTTTCCAGTTTACTTGCCCTTGGCCTTGTGGTGGCTCTCGGTCTTCTTGGGCAGCAGCACGGCCTGGATGTTGGGCAGGACGCCGCCCTGCGCGATGGTCACGCGGCCCAGCAGCTTGTTGAGCTCCTCGTCGTTGCGGATGGCCAGCTGCAGGTGGCGCGGGATGATGCGCGTCTTCTTGTTGTCGCGGGCCGCGTTGCCCGCCAGCTCCAGGATCTCGGCCGTCAGGTACTCCAGCACGGCCGCCAGGTACACCGGCGCGCCGGCCCCCACCCGCTCGGCGTAGTTGCCCTTGCGGAGCAGGCGGTGCACGCGGCCCACCGGGAACTGCAGCCCGGCCCGCGACGAGCGCGTCTTGGCCTTGGCGCGAGCCTTGCCGCCCTGCTTTCCGCGTCCAGACATTTTAATACTCTCCAACCAGTTAGCTTGGTAAGGAAAAGTGAAATGGGGGCTCAAATCCTCTCAGCAAATGAGAAGCAATTATACTTGCAAGCCGAATTGTAAATGGCGCGTTTTGATTGGCTTAAACTATCCAGAAGTTTGCAACCAATTACAAAGGACGACTAACCCCACGCAATTTTCACGTCACTGCCTTACACTTTAGGACAATTTATCCAATCAAAGTCTAACTCGTTTAACGCCTCATTCGCACAGGCGCCCTACGAATATTATGAATGCTAGAACCAGGGCACATATTTCTTATCTCAGAAGTAGAGTTTTTCATCGTCATGCCACACCCAGCGAAGTCTTCCCCGGCCCCCAAAAAGGGCTCCAAGAAGGCGGTGACCAAGGCGCAGAAGGACGGCAAGAAGCGCAAGCGCAGCCGCAAGGAGAGCTACTCGGTGTACGTGTACAAGGTGCTGAAGCAGGTGCACCCCGACACGGGCATCTCGTCCAAGGCCATGGGCATCATGAACTCGTTCGTCAACGACATCTTCGAGCGCATCGCGGGCGAGGCGTCGCGCCTGGCGCATTACAACAAGCGCTCGACCATCACGTCCCGGGAGATCCAGACGGCCGTGCGCCTGCTGCTGCCCGGGGAGCTGGCCAAGCACGCCGTGTCCGAGGGCACCAAGGCCGTCACCAAGTGCACCAGCGCCAAGTAATCCTGACAAAATGTCTTCGTATTGAACCCCAAAGTCTCTTTTAAGAGCCAGCCAGTTTTTCAGCGAGAGTTGTAATGGCTTTAATAGTTTATGTGACTGCTCAAGAGGTTTTGTTTTATTTTGCTGAAAATATCCGGCTTGCCTTGTGTGGCACCAACACCTTAAAGCACACATACATTGTCACTGGTAGAGAGAGAAAAATGTCCAACGTAGTCAACGGTGTCTTGTCTCCACCGCCCATTTTGACTAAAAGCCTGGCCAAAGTGGTGACAAGTAAGTTTCACTTAAGCTGCTGTGATGCGGTGTCCTTTACACATAGTTTCTGTGAAAAGCAAAGAGGGCTTAGATTTGGTAGGACTGCTTGGTTAGTGCTATGTTGTGGTAAAAAGAAACTGGTTGCTTTCCACGTTCATCATTGTACCCTTCTAGGAGTTTTATTTGCTTAAGGCAGTATAACTTGCAAATAATAGTGGGAACGGGCCTATGCAAGAAAACTGAAAAATGAACATCACTGACTCCAAGACGGGATCACTTAATTGTACTGAGCATTCTCCGAAGGCTTGTTAAATGAAAGGTGATCGTTGGCAAAACGCCACAGTAATGATGCCGTCCGTCCAGGAAAGAAACAGCCTTTATATTGATATTTTGGTGTCTCTCCCTTAAAATTGTTATTTTCATCCAGGGTGGACTTTGTCAGGTTTTTTTCTATCTTGACCAACAAAAACTCTTTTTAATTAAAAAAAAAAAAAAATTCACAGGTCATTGCAGTTACACCGCTGCCCGGGTCCATACAGATATATAAAATGGTAATGAAAATATGCACTTTTCTGCCTGTTGTTAGGAAACTACTTAAAGTTATAAACTGCCATGAATCCATGAATGACATCCTACATGACTTAAATGCGAAGAATGTACGTACAAAACATTTTTAGGAGTTTCACCCAGGTCGGAAAAAAGTAAAGCTATTCTGTATTCTTGTTTAATTTCTTTCATGAATAACAGACTTTCTACTCCCCACAGAACACAGATGCACACACACAATACAACATACACAAAGAATATGTAAGCCTTCAAGCAATTAACAAAAGCAACAAGGAGAGAAAAGTAAAAGAAAGAAAACTAAAACTGCCAGATTGGGCAGTTTATACTACCGTAGTCAATGATTGCTTTATGTAGTAGTCCCAGAAGGAAAGAAATATCTAAACAAAGTATATATGACTTTCCTGGGGTACAGGAGCGCCCTGAGAATATGTACGACACTGTGCCTACGCGTTCTTCCCCCTCACAGAGCAGCAAATATATAGCGTTCTATCAAATTCTGAAAACACTATGAGCTACTGCGCTAGGCAGAAAAATGCCATCCCAATTATATTTAATTTCTAATCTCTACGGATCTGTGAATAGGTTAGGGTCCAAGACAGAGGGCAGTTAAAGTTCCAGATGGCATCAAGATTGCTAATCACCTGAATTTTAAAAAGGGAATTTATCCTGGATTACCCAAGTGACCCAATGAAATGCCATGGATGCTTAGAATTGGAAGAGGCAACCTGAATACAGAACCAGAGAGATAGCAGGGGGCTGATGTGGCCGGAGACTTCTGGCTTTGAACACAGAGAAAAGGAATGGAAAGCCAAAGAAAGGAGATAACTTGGAGCAGCTATAAAAAGCAAGGAAACAGATTTGCTCTGAGAGACCCCAGAAAGGAATGCAGAATTCCTGACACCTTGACTTTCGTTGAGCGAGACCCACGCCCAAATGCTGTTTTACAAAATTAGGAAATTATAAATTTCTACAGTTTGAAGCCACAACGTTTGTGATAATTTGTCAGACCACCAGTAGGAAATGAACACATCCACGCAGCTTAAGAATTATTGATTCCGGATTCAATGACATTCTCTAAAATTAGAGTAGATAAATATTTAAATTTAAATGTGTAGATGCACGGAAATTCTCCCTAAATATTGCAGACTCCCATAGTTTTGAAATGTCTCTAATTTTAACGGCGGCAACTTCCCATTCCTTCTTTGCTAGTGTTCAAAAGGTCTGGATTTATCAGCAGTAACTCTTCTTCTTTGAGTAACACTTCCTCCACTCACTACAGTTGTATTACGTCTGATCATAATTCTTCTTCAAAAAGTTTGCATATGTTGCATGTAGAGGAGTGATGGAAAATTTTAATTCGTAACGTCCATGAAAGCCTTATGAATTGTAAAGCCCTCTCGAAGGCGAGTTTTTACCATAATTCTTGCATTTGTTTTCACAGGTGTCCATCGAATGGTTTATTTTAGTCATTTATTATGTAGTGACATGCTCATTTTATAAAGTAAGACACAGTGGGTGTGAGAACCAAAGTTGATTTACATGGCAGAACATGCCAACCAATGTCTTCTGACTCAAAGATGTCTAGAGAGAATTCAGACACTTCGCATCGAATACATTTCTCACCACTTTTATTAAGGACCTTAACATAGATTATCTCCACTCTCCAGCACTAGGCTCCATATCTCATCTCCTTCCTTAGTGCCTTCTTTGTTCAGCTTTCCTTAAGTGTACGAGTCGGCCAAAAGAGAAAACCTTGGTTGGCCTAGGAAAGGAAATCCCACATCCCTACAACTGTCAGCTGACCTCAAATTCAATTCACTTCTGTATCCTGGAATAAATACTTTCCCTGCCTGGAAGAAATGACGCTGATAAACCTGAGACCGGCAATCCCTTGAAAGCAAGAAGGGTATCTTCTATGATTACCAAAGTGCCAATGGAGAGAGGAAGTGCACTAACCAAATGCTTTCCAATGTAAAGGAGTAATGGCCCTTTAAATCAATGGAGGCTGAGGGCCATGCACCATTCAGGAAAAGTTTTCAATTTTCTGGATTTTTACAAACAGAACTTAAAAGTTACACACGTTGCGGAATACTTAAAAGCCGAAACTAAGGTATTCCCAGAGACAAGTGAAGGAAAAAACAGTAGCCACATAGAGGGCTTAAGGCACACAGGAAACAAGTTGTCAAAAATTGTAAGGTTGGAGAACAGGCAAGGTGGAATTCAGCGTGAGAACGAATGGGGGGGGAGGGAAGAAGGGGGGGTGGGACACAAGGGTGGAAATGATTCTGGGAGCGTAGAAGCCAGAGAGGGTGGACGGGGTGGTGGCATTGCTGTTGCCAGAGTAAGGCAACTGCTAAGGTTTAAGGAAAAGGGAACTTTCTTTTCACATCTCCCTCGCTGTCTCCAAAACCTTTAAAGACCCAACTGCAAATTACATATATGCAAATTTCCAGGCCCCGTATCATGTTGGGTAGGAAAAGTGTAGAGAAATTCTGAAGTAAAGGACATGCTTTACCAAGCACGGAGGAACAGGTCATGTTTCTACTTTAAAGAGTATCTAAGAAAACGCAGAGACAAAACTGAGAGTATGTGCAATTAGAGAAATCCTTAACGTGACAACTCTTTAGATGAGAATTGAAGTGGCTCTGAAAAGAGCCTTTGGGGTTGGGTAACAGGACGCTTACTTGGCAAGTCTACTTGGAGCTGGTGTACTTGGTGACGGCCTTGGTGCCCTCGGACACGGCGTGCTTGGCCAGCTCCCCGGGCAGCAGCAGGCGCACGGCCGTCTGGATCTCCCGGGACGTGATGGTCGAGCGCTTGTTGTAATGCGCCAGGCGCGACGCCTCGCCCGCGATGCGCTCGAAGATGTCGTTGACGAACGAGTTCATGATGCCCATGGCCTTGGACGAGATGCCCGTGTCGGGGTGCACCTGCTTCAGCACCTTGTACACGTACACCGAGTAGCTCTCCTTGCGGCTGCGCTTGCGCTTCTTGCCGTCCTTCTTCTGCGCCTTGGTCACCGCCTTCTTGGAGCCCTTCTTCGGGGCGGGAGCGGACTTCGCGGGCTCTGGCATCTCAACTAACAACTCAGTAGACGGATTAAACAAAACTAACCCTAAAATGTCTGTCTTTAAGCAGAGTCTCCTCTTTTATAGGGCATCTATGCAAATAAGGTATGCAGAAATACCCCGATCTGATTTGATAATGTCTTTGGTGACGTAAATATGTAAACTTGATTGTGTCATATCTTCCTTCTTATTGGTTGGATAGCGAACGGTGATCTTTTTAACCAATCCCAGCTCGCGTTTTACACTTCCATCCACCAGTATAACTGGCATCTTTTTGCTGCTTCCAGGACATTTCTTTTTCGCTTTTCCTGCGGACTCTCTCTCGCAGATACCACTCGCTATGTCTGGCCGCGGAAAGCAGGGCGGCAAGGCTCGCGCCAAGGCCAAGACGCGCTCGTCGCGGGCCGGGCTGCAGTTCCCGGTGGGCCGTGTGCACCGCCTGCTCCGCAAAGGCAACTACTCCGAGCGAGTCGGGGCCGGCGCGCCGGTGTACCTGGCGGCCGTGCTGGAGTACCTGACTGCCGAGATCCTGGAGCTGGCGGGCAACGCGGCCCGCGACAACAAGAAGACGCGCATCATCCCGCGCCACCTGCAGCTGGCCATCCGCAACGACGAGGAGCTCAACAAGCTGCTGGGCCGCGTGACCATCGCGCAGGGCGGCGTCCTGCCCAACATCCAGGCCGTGCTGCTGCCCAAGAAGACCGAGAGCCACCACAAGGCCAAGGGCAAGTGAAACGTTTACGGAATCTGCCTGCTCTCCCAATCCCCAAAATCAAAGGCTCTTTTAAGAGCCACCCATCTTTTCTGGGAAGTGCTGAAATACTACAGAACTCCTGAGACGTTTGTTTCCTCACTTGCTAACCTTAAGGTAGCCTATTTCTAAGTTTCCTATTGTAAAAACTGGACAACTCCTCCCGGTACTCCCACACAATGGTCAGATGAGTTTAAGATGTTACATGTCTAATGCCTGGAGATTTATGAAACATTACATAAAATGCTCCCGCCAATTGCAAATGCACAAGCCATTCGCAGTAAACCAAGTGGCAATTCTCTGAGGTCGTGACTTCGGGGTGTAGGTTACGTATACAACAACGATAGTCATCGAGAGCATTATCTGTATGTTGAGATTGTTTAAAAGCGCAGTGTATACACATGTACGTAATTATAAACACACTCTGGTCAAAGTTGCGGCCACAAAGTCAAACACGCATGAAAGAAATGAGAGAACAAAGGAGACACACCTGACCAATCATATATCAGGGCGGGCTCTTCGAATTCTGGGGCGGCCTGAATTCCCGCTGCAGAAAGTTGTGCGTTTCCGTCTTTTCACACAAAAAGGAAATGAATGAAGTCCGCTGAAACCCGAAATGAAACCTCGGTTTTATGAATTCAATTTAAAGTGCATTAAGTAGACATATAAACTGGAATAACTTTTGATTCTATATTCAAATCTTACTGGAAATCCAATCATTTCTCGGAAAGGGAACCTGAGAACCAATTGGATCACAGCGCGGGACCTGCGAACCACACTGATCTCTCCTATAAATAGGGTCAGAAACGGCTCCTCGCTACTCTCCGGTTTCCTTTTCTGTGTAATTGTCATGGCTCGCACGAAGCAGACGGCGCGCAAGTCGACGGGCGGCAAGGCCCCCCGCAAGCAGCTGGCCACCAAGGCGGCCCGCAAGAGCGCGCCGGCCACCGGCGGCGTCAAGAAGCCGCACCGCTACCGGCCCGGCACGGTGGCCCTGCGCGAGATCCGCCGCTACCAGAAGTCCACCGAGCTGCTGATCCGCAAGCTGCCGTTCCAGCGGCTGGTGCGCGAGATCGCGCAGGACTTCAAGACCGACCTGCGCTTCCAGAGCTCGGCCGTGATGGCGCTGCAGGAGGCGTGCGAGGCCTACCTGGTGGGGCTCTTCGAGGACACCAACCTGTGCGCCATCCACGCCAAGCGCGTCACCATCATGCCCAAGGACATCCAGCTGGCGCGCCGCATCCGCGGCGAGAGGGCGTAATTCCCCAAGGCTGTTCCCTCCGGACTTTGAAAAAGGCTCTTTTCAGAGCCCCCTACTTTGTCAAAAACTGTTGTAACTCTTTCTTTCCGATTGCTCCCTTGGTGAAAGTAAGTTTCTCTTTTTCGAGAATACCCTGAAACTGTATTAGATGGATCCGCCGGTTTTTATAACAAAGAATCGGCTTTGGATTCATAGTAATTCTGTGTAATGTGTAACATTCCGTTACTTAGTCTTTCAAACTGCAGTTGTTTGATGAGGGCACAGAATGGCTCGTAGGTATTAAAGATCAAAAGGGATACTATTGTTGAGATTTCCCTCTTTACATGCCGCCTTTTACATCCTTTTGGGGTTGAAAGAAAAGAGCAACGTTTACGATTTCCATCCTCAGCAGAGTCAAAGTCTAGGTGAATCAAGTGAAATGCATTATTTCTTTTTAATGGATCTCCAGCCCACTGGGTCGGCCCCAGTAGACCAAAAAGTAAATACAAACATGATTCCTTTTGAGGTGGAGAAATTGGTCTTCAGGCCATTACATTATATGTTACCGAAGTGTCAAGTTCAAAATAATAAGCTGTCTCATTGTGAATTATTCTGATATATAACCATCAGTAAGGGAACATCGGGAAGATGAACCTGGTTCAAAGCAATATAGGACATTATCAAGATCAGCAATAGTTCAAGAAAGTGAAGGAAACTAGGACAGTCTCCCCACAATATTCCTCTTTGACATAAAAATTGGGGGCTAAAGGCAGGTAAGCAGCAATGACAGAAAAAGTGTTGTGGGCCCTTCCCCTTTTCCGCCTTAAGACAGGATATAAATTCTATACTGGAGACTCTTAAAAGCCCAGAGAGGGACCAGAGGAAGCCGCAGACAAACCTTACTGTGAGCTTCCTCCCATATACCTACCTTGCCATGGTTTTCGGTCCTTCAAGGCCTAAAAATAAAACTGCCTTCCCTTGTCCAGTCATTTCTCCACACATTCTTTGTTGAAGACGCTGTGTACGCTGCAGTGAGTGCTAAGGTACCTCTTCCAAGGGTTCTTCCCTGGGTTTCTCCCATGTGTACGCGAAATAAACACGTTAATAAACTTCTCATTGTTTTTATCCTGCTAATCGGTGTTTTGTAAAACGGGCCCCCGCCAAGAACCAAGATGGATAGAGGAAAAACTCACCTCCCTTACAAAAGAATGAGGACTAGAATAAAACCAAAAGAGCACATTTAGATCCAGAAAGTGTTATTATTCTACAGCACAATTACAACCTTTAGATGATCTTTTCTAATGCCATAATTTTCATCTCCAACCGACAAAAATCACTGAAATTATCAACATCCTACAAGTTACCTAAATTCATAGATTTTTCACAGATACTGGACCCTAATAAGCAGTCTAACAGAAGCACATCCCCCTTGAAATAAATTTAAAAAACAAAAACACTGGCAGGCCTTTTAAACTGCGCCATATGAGACAATGTAAAGAAAATGCAGTCTATTCCTTTACCTTAATTGGATATTTGGATATTTCTTAATAGGTTTCAGATCTGTTCTGGTCTGTGACCAGAGTCTTTCCCTTGTCCTCAGTGACCTCATGCCTGATGATGAGTGTGCCTTCTCATTTGCACTTTCCACCTCCCTGCTTACCAAGGATTTACCATGACACTGAGGGACTAGTGTTGAATTTCCCAGGCCTAAAGAAGTAGAAAGTACCAGCAGCTCTGTGACACCCTGTTTATCTCCAAGTCAGAGCCACATGACATCACTTGTTTAACTTGTTTCACAAATGTGAAATTGTGATTCAAAAAATATAAAATAAACATGTGACACAGAGAGTACTTAAATCATCAATGACTGAAAAGGGTAAAATGCTCCAAAAGGTTCAAAGAATATTGAAGAAATTAGGGTATTTATAAACAACTTAACACAGAAATATTGGAATAGGATTATTGAATGAGGTTAAAGCAAAATTAATAATGTCCAAGAAGCCATAAATCTTTGGAGTTAGAGCTGTTCCACCAGACAGAAAATACTTACAGCTCTACCAAATAAACCCCTGCTGAATTTGATACATTCAATCAATAGTAAATAGTGAGATGATCAAAGTCCATGGTCCTGCAATTCTTGTGTAGTCTTTAACCTTTTATGATACTAAACATCATGGCCCATCCTTTTGTTCCCTATTTCCAAGCCTCAGATAAAGTGTCGCATACTGTGAATCCTTACTGGAAAGAAATAAAAACATAGGACCTGCAAGATAAATTTCTATGAAACTGCATGATGTGACTCCTTGACATTGTACTCATCAATCAAATACACAGTAGACACTGTAACCTTTTATTGTTTCTAGACTCCAGACTGATTCACCTGATTTTCTTATCTGTCTCTCTTGGTCTTAGGATCCAGAAACAGTAAACCATTCTCGGGCCTTCGTTTTCATGAGATGGTTTTACATTTCCACAGTGATTACTTTGCTTCTTAAAAAAAAAAAAAAAAAAAAAAAAAAAAAAAAAAAAGATAAGAGATTCTACATTCTCTTGTACAGAAGCTTAAGCACTTTTGAACTATAATTGCATTAGCAAACATTTTTGGATGTTCTCTCTCTCAAAAAAGTATACTTTTGGAAAAAAAAAATATGAGCATAGAACTTCAGGAAGTCTCCATCAGCCCGCCCTTAAAGAATTCTAAGGTTGACAATTTTTCGAGTTACCCCTCTTTTCTTGCTTTGATGGGTAATGTTTTCTTTGGCAAGCCTGTGTTCGCTCCCTAACATGATTTTATTTTTTAAATTTTTTTACAATGCTTCATTTGAGTTTGGGGCCAGTCTCTGGGCAACTGTATTTCTTAGAAACATAGATGGCCCTTGAACAAGGTTAGGGGTGCTGACCCCTTGCATAGTTGAAAATCTGGATAAAACTTTTGATTCCCCAGAACTTAATGACTAACAGCCTACAGGTGACCAGTAGTCTTATGGATAACATGAACAGTTGATAAACGCATACTTTGTATATTGTATTAGATATTGTATTCTTATAATAAGGTAAGCTAGAGAAAAGAAAATGCTATTAAGAAAATAGTATTTGCAAGCGCATGGATGGAACTAAAGGGCATTATGCTCAGAGAAATTAGTCAGAGAAAGACAGGTCCCATACGACTTCACGCATATGAGGAGTTTAAAATACAAAACCGATGAGCATAAGGGAAGGGAAGCAAAAATAATATAAAAACAGGGAAGAGGACAAAATATAAGAAACTCTTAAATATACAGAACAAACAGAGGATTGCTGGAGGGGTTGTGGGGGGGGGGATTGGCTACATGGGTAAAGGGCATCAAGGAAGACACTTGTTGGGGGTGCCTGGGTGGCGCAGTCGGTTAAGCGTCCAACTTCAGCCAGGTCACGATCTCGCGGTCCGTGAGTTCGAGCCCCGCGTCGGGCTCTGGGCTGATGGCTCAGAGCCTGGAGCCTGTTTCTGATTCTGTGTCTCCCTCTCTCTCTGCCCCTCCCCCATTCATGCTCTGTCTCTCTCTGTCCCCAAAATAAATAAAAACGTTGAAAAAAAAATTTAAAAAAAAAAAAAGGAAGACACTTGTTGGAATGAGCACTGGGTGTTGTACAGAGGGGCTGAATCACTGGAATCTACTGAGATCATTGTTGCACTGTATGCTAACTAACTTGGATGTAAATTTCAAAATAAAATAAAATAAATAAATAAATAAATAAAAGTATACCTATAAAAAAAGAAAGAAAATCATAAGGAAGAGATAATACCGTTGCAGTGCTTTATTGTGTTTCCTGAAAACCAGTGTGCATATAAGTGGATCCATGCAGTTCAAACCCCTATTATTCAAGGGTCAACCTTACATTGAATTTCCACCATATTTCAAAGCGCATGATGGCAAGGTTGGGTGAAAAAATCAAGAAGCAGAGAGGGGCAAGGAAGAATCCTTGAGCAGCGCTGCGTATAGAAAATAATGCAAGCCACGTACGTTATCTTAAATTTTCCACTAACCACATTTTAAAAAGTGGAAAGATGCAATCATTTTAATAATATATTCTATGTAATCCTAAATCTCCAGATATGTTTGTTCCAATCAATGTAAAAACATGAATAATGCAATATTTCGATTCCTTTTTTCATCCTAAATCCTCTAAACTGGGTGTATATTTCATCCAATCTGCTACTAAATTTTGATTGGAAATAACTTGATTTGCATTTCAATACCATAAACTTTACCGTTGGCAAATTGAGTTCACACGCCCACCTTGTTCAAACATACGCCAAATTTTCCAATAACTGAACAGAGTAATAGCTCTTCAATTTAAGTTATTTAATATTAAAAATTCAGTCCCTCACAGCATTAGACACATTCCGAATGCTCAAAAGAGGGTCCAGAGCACTTTATCAGACAATGCTTTCTTAAAAGGAATTGTGTTTGTGGTGTGAAGGTGGTGATGGAAGCTGGTGGTTAAATGGAAAGTATATAAATTTAAATGTAGCCATGTAAGGGTAGCACTGACCTCGAAAAGCGAAGATTTGCCCATACATAGATATAGAGGTCATTAGGAAGAAAAACAAAAACAAAACCTGAACATAAATCCAGATTACAAAATACCAGATTGAGGGATTTAAAAATATGGAGGGGCGACTGGGTGGCTCAGTCAGTTCAGAGACTGACTTCGGCTCAGATCATGATCACAGGGTCCATGAGTTCCAGCCCCGCATTGGACTCTGTGCTGACAGCTGGGAGCTTAGAGCCTGCTTGGGATTCTGTCTCCCCCTCGCTCTGCCCACCCCTGCTCAGGATCTGCGTCTCTCTGTCTCTCAAAAGTAAAAAAAAAAAAAAAGTTAAAAAAAAATTAAGAATATCTAGAAGGAAGGCAAGCCCTGGGGCAGGAAGACAGAATTTTCTCAGGCAAAGTGGCCGTCCCTGTGTCTCACACTGGACCTGACATTTACCCTTTGACTGCCAAACCATCTTTGTGATTAACATTTCCATCCTGCGGAGGAAGAACCTACAGTGAAAATGAGAGAACACAAGCCACAAAGCAGGACGTGGGCCTCAGAAGGTGAAGTGCAGGGAGTGCAGGCGGCAAGCCAGGGGACAGGCCTCCCCATGAGAAGCCCCCACCCGTCACACTCGTGTTCGTGTCAGGCTGCGGACTGCAGTTCTTTTCTCGCTCCCTAAGACCATCCTCCCAACGTCACTACTTGACCTCGATGTAAAGTGGACAAAACTGCTTGAATGGGAGGACAGAAGGGAAACACTCCAATACATTTCAGACATGCGACTAGAATTCAAACCAATGCCGAATTTCGACTGCGACTTGCCCGAGGTGTGTAAGGGTCCTCACAGTTCAGCCCGGAGAAGCAGATGTTAGCTTGACAGCTGCCATTATTTCGGTCCCTTGATTGGCCCGAGACGTTTCCTTACAGGCCCTTAAACAGAGCCTTCTTGCGTCTCCGCGGGTACGCGCGGCCTCGCGCACTTGTGGGCGGGGATAAACTCGCTGCCCCGGCCCCGGCCCCTCCGGCCCTGTTCTCAATAAGGTCCGCCACAGGGTTATAAATTAGGATTTCGTCGCTGTGTAACCTAACTTCGCTGCTCTGTTTTACTGACCGGAGGACATGTCTGGTCGCGGCAAAGGCGGGAAGGGCCTGGGCAAGGGGGGCGCCAAGCGTCACCGCAAGGTGCTGCGCGACAACATCCAGGGCATCACCAAGCCCGCCATCCGGCGGCTGGCCCGGCGCGGCGGCGTCAAGCGCATCTCCGGCCTCATCTACGAGGAGACCCGCGGGGTGCTCAAGGTGTTCCTGGAGAACGTGATCCGGGACGCCGTCACCTACACGGAGCACGCCAAGCGCAAGACGGTCACGGCCATGGACGTGGTGTACGCGCTCAAGCGCCAGGGCCGCACCCTCTACGGCTTCGGGGGCTAAGACTTTGCGTACGAGAAGTGAATTCTTTGCCAACCCTAAAGGCCCTTTTCAGGGCCACCTATCCATGCACTAGAAGGAGCTAGCGACGCTGTTTGTTTCCTTTTCGTGGGAACTGAGGTTACTGAACGTATTTTGCGATCTGAGTTCTATGACTTCCGTATAATTTAACCATGTTTACTCCTTGCCCGGGGGCATTAAACATCAAGGCAGCCATTCAGGTTTATGCTCACGGCCTTTGTCCATGGGTTTTTCTATTTTTCAGACGTGCCCACACTTCAAAGTTGCAATCCATTTATAGACAGACATGTCCCAAACATGAGATTGTACATTTTTCAAATCCAGTTGCTATCTGGAAATAAAGCTTGAATATGAACTGGAGGAAACACCATTAGCCTACTCTGTTCAAGGAAAAGCAAAGTGAGAATGCCCAGCTACTACGTGGTAACTAGGGGGAAGGGTTTGATGTGAGAGGCTTAGACCGAGCTGTAGACTGCGGCCACCTGTAAGCAAGCCTCCTAGGTGGCACGTGGGGACTTTTTCGCCCCTTTTCTCTCTCATATTTGGATTATGTAAAATAATTGCCAATAAAATGTATTTAAGCCACAATGATTTGGGGGTTTGTCTTAACCTTGTCACATCTATTCCCTGATATTCCATAATAAAAGCAGCAATGTTAAGTCCTCTCACAAACCCGCCGGTGCCTCCTTTAAAGCCAGAAAGGGAGCTACACAGACACCTAGCCCCGTGCTAGGGCTCAACCACCTGCAGTGTTTTCTGATGTCCACACTTACAGAGGAAGGAGGGAGGAGGTCTCCAAAATGATAACCAGGCAAATTGTCTTCTCTGTCTTCACTTCAAGAGAAAGTCACTGGCAGTAGCCTAATTAAAAGCACTTCAAGGTATTTGTAGCCTTTGTCTTTACCTCTTAGCATCAATTCCTGCCTCCAGGCAAATTGAACTAGAGTAATGAAGGGACAGGGGAAAGGAGGAAAACCGTTATGTTAGTGAACTTTCTTTGGGTTCTTAGCCTTGATTTTTCTTGATGGGTCCTGTGATGGCCTCGTAGGATGTCCGCCAGGATTCCCCCTCCTGGTGCTCACCCTTGTGATCTAGCCCCCTTGGGTGTGAACATGACTTGTGACTTATTTCCAACCCACAGAGTACTACAAAGGTGACTGGATGTAATTTTTCTGTATATGATTATTGTTAACTGACGTGTATGTTGTGTAATATCTATCCTCCTTGACTTTAGCATGCTGGCTTTGACGGACCAAGTATCCGTGGCAGCATGCACAAATGCCAAGAAACCCAGGGGCTCTTTAGGAAGTGAGGGAGGCCTAAAACCAAAAGCCTACAACCATTCAAGCCAACAGCCAGCAAGAAAGAAAATGAATTCCTCAGCCCTACAAGCACAAAGAGACAAATTCAGTTAAGCAGTGAGTTTGGAAGATGGTATTTCCCCACGCAAGCATCCAAGAGACCTCTATCCGAGGTAACATCTCAATAGCATCCTGGTCTAGGACTCACCTAAACTCTGCCCAGACCCACAGAAACTCACACTGTACATGTGTATTGTTTTAAGAGAGTAAAGGCAAATGAATTGTTGTGCAGCAACAGCTAATGCAGTTAGCTAACACACTTAGCATCTTCAATCAGTGTTCCATCTAAGATAACATAACATGAACTGAAACTGCAATCATTATCTAATGGAAGACATACGTTTTAAAAAGGAAAAAAAGGGGGGGGGGAGAACAAACCTATAATGGGAATATTCCCTTTGACAACTGTGTAACCCTCACACGTATCTCCAACATAAGTATACCTACGTCGTGCCTTGCAGGCTTCCCTAATACCAAGCCTATAAACAATGACGTGCTCAACAGCATACATCTAACTCATTTGACTTTCAGCAGCACAAAAACAAACCGTCTACTTTTCCATAATTAACACATGAAACCCAATGATTTTCATCCATATCTTCTGTGATCCCTGCATACCTAGATCTTTTCTTATTTTTGTTTCATTTGAGTTTTTCTCTGTCTAAATGAATACAGAACGATACAGCAAAGGCAAGAAAAGAAAAACCATGTAAAAGTGGATCAAAATTAGGGTTTAGGAAAATGACTCAACATGCTGTGCAGTTGATTACATCAATAACATACAGCCAAAATAAAATGGATGATAAATTCATTTTAACGTACATTTGAAGAATTGTCGAAACGGTCTACAATAGATGCTATGATTAAATTCTGCAGTGCAGTAATACCCATGCCTAATTTAGATCTATTATGGGATGAATGACATTCAGAGTTTGGTGTCCTGTGCAAAATAATTTCTCATTGCACGAGTTGGCCTTTGTGAAATACATATAATTATGTTGTTATAATGTGGGCATTGTAATGAAAACAAATAACCAAAGTACATGTACTTAAGTACAGACAACTGTAAGTTACAGACACCCAGTGTGAAATTATTTTAAAGTCTAATGATTGAACAAAGAACCAAGTAAAAATTTAAAGAAATCACACAAAAACTATACTTTCAGGGCTTTAGCCAAATTCCTACTATACACATTTCACGTAATCTATGTGGCTCTAAAGATTAACATAAGTTCCAATAAACATCTCATACTATAACTGTTCTCACATCTTATGGAAACAGGTCTGTAAAAAGACAAAACATGCTTTTAAAGCCAGTTGAGGAACCTTGCTATTACAACTCTTTATATGCAAAAGTGAGTGGCTCTGAAAAGAGCCTTTGGGGTTGGGTAACAGGACGCTTACTTGGCAAGTCTACTTGGAGCTGGTGTACTTGGTGACGGCCTTGGTGCCCTCGGACACGGCGTGCTTGGCCAGCTCCCCGGGCAGCAGCAGGCGCACGGCCGTCTGGATCTCCCGGGACGTGATGGTCGAGCGCTTGTTGTAATGCGCCAGGCGCGACGCCTCGCCCGCGATGCGCTCGAAGATGTCGTTGACGAACGAGTTCATGATGCCCATGGCCTTGGACGAGATGCCCGTGTCGGGGTGCACCTGCTTCAGCACCTTGTACACGTACACCGAGTAGCTCTCCTTGCGGCTGCGCTTGCGCTTCTTGCCGTCCTTCTTCTGCGCCTTGGTCACCGCCTTCTTGGAGCCCTTCTTCGGGGCCGGGGCCGACTTCGCTGGCTCAGGCATGATAAACAATACCAAAAGCAGAAGAGTTGTGACCAACAAGGAAAAGAGTGAGGTGGGAAAAAAAAAAATCCCGAGTATTTATATCACGTATATGCAAATGAGGGTCCCAAAGTCTGAATTTTGATTGGACCAAAACTGACCAATAGATTAATAGCATGCAAAAGCAGCGTTGCAAACCTGCTTTTTTATTGGACTAAAAAACTAACTCTTCCAGAGAATCCAATAGGTTAATTTACAATACCGCTTTATTGCTCAAAGTGCATTCACCAAAAATCAAACAAAAAAGAAAAAAGAAAACCTCTCAATAAAACCTTATTTTAAATTATGAAAGTAGAAACTTTCGAACTGGCACGCGAAAACGAGGGAAGGAAATTCTATTATATAGCCCAGTAGAGTCCTAACTACTGCTCCTTTGGGTTTGTCATAAATTATCCAGGACACCTCGGGTCTCTTCTGACAAGAATGATGATATGCTAGACTATTATCATTAAGGTATGTTGCAAAAGACTCGATCACCGCCATCTTTTTTAAGTTTCAGCATTGCAAACGTTTTCCTCAATGCTCACCCCATTAGACCCCGACTGACATTTTAAATCCATTAAAACCAAACAGCAGAGTCCAATCACCAGTTTGAGTCAAATACGGTATTAAAAAGAACGAGGGGCTCCAAAACATTGGAATTTTAACGTGCGAATCCGGAAATATAAAATTCCTTATGTGTTAACATTATGTCTTAGACCATACTGGAGTGAACTAGATATTTGCTGTAAATAAAATGAAGTGGAACTCATGAGATATTATACAGTGGGATTTTCAAATAGGACAGGAAATACCTTCCGGATGAAAACGAGATAACTATGCAGAAAATGGCGGATTTTTTAAAGAGAAATTCTCAAGTACTGTCTTGTTTCAAGAACACCGTACTTTGTATAGACAAACAGAAGAAAAATTCAACAGAATTGTTTACGAGAATTATGGAGTTTGTCGGTCCTATTTGTTGTGTGCCAAGCATCACAAGGGAAACAAATAGCTTAGTGATTTTTTTCCCCCAAGGGGGCCGGGAACAAGTCGGTTAATTGAAATTAACCAATCAGAAACTAGCACGGAACAGATTAAACCAATGCTAAATCTCAGGGAGCACTTCCGGAATGGAGCTCCAGTTGACTCACCGGGATTGCCCACAATCCAATCAGAGTGATTCTCCCCCTGTATAAATGCAGGGGCGAGCTGTTACCCTGGTTTCCTGACTTTGCAGTTAAGCCATGGCTCGCACGAAGCAGACAGCGCGCAAGTCGACAGGCGGCAAGGCCCCGCGCAAGCAGCTGGCCACCAAGGCGGCCCGCAAGAGCGCGCCGGCCACCGGCGGCGTCAAGAAGCCGCACCGCTACCGGCCCGGCACGGTGGCCCTGCGCGAGATCCGCCGCTACCAGAAGTCCACCGAGCTGCTGATCCGCAAGCTGCCGTTCCAGCGGCTGGTGCGCGAGATCGCGCAGGACTTCAAGACCGACCTGCGCTTCCAGAGCTCGGCCGTGATGGCGCTGCAGGAGGCGTGCGAGGCCTACCTGGTGGGGCTCTTCGAGGACACCAACCTGTGCGCCATCCACGCCAAGCGCGTCACCATCATGCCCAAGGACATCCAGCTGGCGCGCCGCATCCGCGGCGAGAGGGCGTAAACTTGATTTCCGGATTCTGTGCCAACTTTGAACCCAAAGGCTCTTTTCAGAGCCAACCACTCTGATCTATAACAGATGCCGTGACACTTAAACAAGTAAGTTCCATTGCCAACCGAGCTCAAACTTGTAGCAGGCCTGAAAGACATATAGGCCTGTCTTAAATTAAGCTCTCAAGCCTTTGGTCTCCTGAAGTTTTCCTAGTGTGTTTAGTTACATGGTTTTACTTTCAAACCCCTATTTCTCTGTATGTTGCATAGGTCTGACAGGTTTCGTTCTGGCTCTAGGATTTATGGGTTTTATTCTAAACTTCGAGTATGGTCTGTTGCACCTTTTTGGTATTGTGACCGTTCCCTTGCCTCTTCCATCCTACAGGCTCTTTGACTTTTGCAACGTTACTTGGCGCTGTTCGAGGGGTGGCCCGTTGTGTCTTTGGGGGCCTGGGCTGAGCCTTCAAGGCTTCTGGTTATCTATTTCTCCCAGGGTTCACCGTGTTGAACTTAGAGAATCCCAAGGCCCCAGAACCCTTGGTCGGCACTTAGCTGAGCAGAATTTGGGGACCCAAATCACTAGCAACCGCCAGACCTATGAAAGGTGATCAAAGATCTCCCCCTAAGCCTCTTAAGGGGAGCCAAGGCTTGGGTTATTAGCTGGAGCACAAAAAAGTAAGAGGGTAGCGTTTCCTGAGAACTTCTTGCCGTCTATCCTTCCCGGTATATCTACCAGACTAAACAACCCAACCAAGAGCGGTTTGGGTGGGTCTCAGAAAGTACCTCTGGAAATGAACGCAGGAATGAGGATCCTTTCAACTGACGCTTTTTTTTTTTTTTTAAGGTTTTAAGGAATTTCTACACCTAAATTGGGGCTCGAATTTACAACGCAAAAATCGAGTTGCATGGTCTATGGACTGAGCCATTCAAAAAGGCACTTTTGGTTTTCCTAAATTCTCTATCTTACTCTCGATTTAAATCTTATGAGACTACCTCATTTATCAGTAAAACATGACAATCCTTTGGAAGCTGGAGAGCTTTCTTAAATTATTCTGTTCAATGCCTATAAGAAAATGGTTTGATGCTATTATTAAACAGATGTTCCTTTTCCATGAAAATAACAGGTTTCTCAATTTCTAAACCGGTAACTGAATAGAAGGGAAATCAGGAATTCTGTTCTAAAACTATTCAGGGAGTTATTTGGAAATGTAGAAGGATGTTTACTAATTGGGATACACATACCACTTGGAAGGATTTCATCTCTCATGTATTTAAACGCTTCGGCAAATTTGAGTTTGAGATAGGAAAAGGTATCCTTAACTATAGAATTGAGAAGCTTCTATCAAAAAAAACCAAAAACTTTTAATGGACTGTTTCACCTCAAGGGTCACTAAGGAAAGGGACTACTGGGGTGGAATACTTAACATTGACAAAGCTATACATAAAGTGCACAGACAAGTCAGCCATCGTAAAAAGTCCTAGAGGTTTTATAGAAGAAATTTTTGTTCTTGCAACTCTTTCAGACATTGAGACTTGGGGATTTGGGAATAGGGAACTCTGGATCCATATGGAAAAGAGCTTAGCTATCCATAGCTAAAATCAGTGGAGTGTTTTATATGTGTAATGTTGGATAAAGGCATTCATATTAGAGTGTGGTTTCCTACTTCCTTTGAAATTCTAGCACAGTGAGTTTTTTTTTAATCTGTGTTCTGTCTCACCGGATGTTGGTCATCAGGATATGAGGACCCAGTGGGCACAGAAAACATCTTTTTATGTCATTAAATCCACCAGAATATGTAGAATGGTCCTTCGCCTGAACAAACCCTCAGAAAACTTCTTAGTTAAATTGGAATTTAAAAAAATTATTGCACAAACAGATTACTGTTTACTACAGTCCTGACTATAGAAATAAAACATTAGGGGCACGTGGGTGGCTCAGTCGGTTAACTGAAGTCGGTGTCCAACTTCGGTTCCAGTCATGATCGCTCGGTCCATGAGTTCAAAGCCCCACATTACGCTGCGTGCCAACAGCTCAGAGCCTGGAGTCTGCTTTGGATTCTGTGTCTCCCTCTCTGCCCCTCCCCTGCTCGCACTCTGTCTCTCTCAAAAATAAATAAACATTTTTTTAAAAAATGGTAGAGTTTGTGTAATTTTCATATACAATTTTCCTAAGTAGAAATAAATTGAGTGGTTACAATGGGCCAGAAGTCAGGTATAAGGTTCCACAATGTAAGAAAAAATAGTAGTACTTGATATCAAATTGCTTTTAATGAATTTTTATTTTATTGGAGAAAGATCACAAATTATGACTCAGGTCACATTTCATATGTACCTACTGGTAATTAAGTCGTATATGCATTTCGGGTTTATCTGGTTGCCTGAAACTACATCACTTTTCTTCACTGTATAATCTCCGAATGACCAGGCACTTTCTCTTATAGAACTGATAGCTAAAATCAAGACAATTCAGAAGTTTTATTTCATTTTGCATACACTTCCTACCGCAACTGGCAGCAGAGGGATATTGATTTTTTATATCTGGAGATTTTTTTTGCCATGAAAGCATTATAAATATTTTTGGTTTTCTTTCTGTAGTAACCCCAACACCTTCGGCAGCATAGCACGAGTCAGAAAGTAAGGGAGGTAATACCTAAGTCAAGCCATGGGGAAGAGGGGCATAAAAGGGGCAGAGAGATTTATTACTCTTGGCTTCCTTCATAGAAAGACAGAAAATAAAATTACTAATTCTGATTAATATCTGGGGATAATCCCACCTATTGGACAGGATTAAAAACTCAGTCAATTAAAATGAGATATCGCCTCACACTTGGCAGAATGGCGAAAATCAAAAACACCAGAATCAACAGGTGCTGGCTAGGATGTAGAGAAAAAGGAGCCCTCACGCACTGTTGGTGGGAATGCAGATTAGTGCAGCCACTGTGGAAAACAGTATGGAGGTTCCTCAAAAGGTTAAAAATAGAACTCCCTTAAGGCCCAATAATCACATTACTGGGTATTTATCCAAAAGATTTTTTAAAAAACACTAATTCAAAGGGGTATAGGCATTCCTTTGTTTATTGCAGCATTATTTACAATAGCCAAACTATGAAAGCAGCCCAGGTGTCCATGGATAGATGAATGAATAAAGTAGATGTGGTATATAGACAATGGAATATTATTCATCCATAGAAACAGAAGGAAATCTTGCCATCTGGCAACAACTTGGATGGAGCTAGAGAGTATAATGCCAAGCGAAATAAGTCAGAGAAAGACAAACACCATATGATTTCACTCCCATGTGGAATTTAAGAAACAAAACATGAACAAAAGGGAAAAAAGAAAGAAAGACCAGCCAAGAAGCAGACTCTTAACTATAGAGAACCAACTGGTGGTTACCAGAGGCGGGGGGTAATGGGTTAAATCGAGACTGAGGATTAAAAAGAACACTTATGGGGAAAAAAACAACAACAACAACAAAAAACCTTAGTCAATTGAAAACACAAACCTTAGAGTAGTGGAAAACCATGACTGAGGCCCTAAGGTGTAGTTTAATGAGAGAAAAGAATAGAAGCATTATAAATTTGCCATTGATAATAATGGCACCCAATTGTTAAATGTCATCAAAGCACATTATCAGAGGCTAGACATGTTAATTAGGGGAATTTATTCAAGGAGATGGAAGTTGAAATGGAATTGGGAAAACTCTCCCAGGCAGAGAGGAGAGAATGGCAGGTGAAGAAAGTTGTTTAAAAAAAGAGAAAGAAAAACAAAAGAACAAATGAGAAGGCACTGAAAAGAAAATTGGAGTTGTTATTAGCGCTAGTTAATGCAAGCAGAAAGTATTATTATGAAAAAAAAAAATTGACTGCAAAGTTCCCACCTGAACCTAAGGCAATGGGAAGCCAGTCACCCTATGCATAAGACAGATCACAGAATGACCAGAATTGCAGAGTTCGGGGCTGGAAAAATTAGAATTAGGACCCTGGGTAGGAAACAGTAGAATCATCCCAAGACGGAGAAGCTACAGAGAGCATGTGAGAAAGGCGGAAAGATCACTTACCGAGACTCTAAATAAACATCAACCTGATTTAGTGACTGAGTGACAGGAACAATTGGGGCCTCAATACAGTGACAGGAATTCAGTGTGCCGCCTCCCGTTATAAGAAGTCAGGAAATTACTAAGCAGAAGGAGAAAGTGGTTACTTCAGACTGGTCCTGAAAATTGTATTTATATTGATTGATTGATTGATTGATTGACTGGTTGTGTGCTTCTGAGAGAACTACTCACAGGGGCTCCTGTCTGATGTTTGCCATCTGTAAGTGTCAATCTCTCAGGTTTTTCTAAACCTGGGCTTTTGCAACAATAACAGACAGACCACCTTGGTTCACCAAGAGAGCATCAGAAACCCAAGCGTGAGCATTGCAAGAGACCCTCAAGGGAGACCATCCCAGGGACATGGTCAGTGATGAAACACGGTGACTGGGAATGAGCTTCCTGTTCCCTCGTCCTCTGGGTGCAGAACACTAAGACAGCGGTGGTCTTCCTTACCCAGGACGTTAGCTATAACAAAAATTGGGGGAGATGGGAAAAGATTTAAATAAGTTCTGATGCCTGTGAAAACCCTGTCCTGTCCCAGGGAAAGGAATCCGAATACGAATATACGGAAACCATAGAAAAACTAGGACCTTGATTAAATCATACTTAGCTGTGTCTGAGGCATTCCAAAGGGCTTGTGAAGTAGTTAAGTCACAACGGGCCTGAAACAGAATTACAATAACTCTACTACCTTCTGGAGGAGGCTGAAAATGAAACCAAGAACTCCACTCCCTTTGTAGCTGATACAATACATGGGGCACACGACGAAGTAGAAACAAAGAAACTTGTACTTGAGACCCAGGTCCACCGTTCGGTGACAAGCCAATTCTGGGCAGATCATCCTTCCAAACCACAATTTTCTTTTTCTTTTCTTTCTTTTTTTAATTTATTCTTCAGAGAGAGAGAGAGAGAGAGAGAGAGAGAGAGAATCACAAGCAGGCTCCGCACTGTCAGCACGGAGCCCAGCCCAGGACTCGACCTAACCTGAGCTGAAACAACAGCTGAACGCTTAACCAACTGAGCCACCCAGGCACCCTCAAGCCACAATTTTTTTTTTAACTGTGAAACCAGCATTTTAACTATACCTAATGCAAAAGCCTCATAGGGAGGTGGTGACAGAGCACCCTGTAAACTGTAAGGAACTGCAGAGACACTCGTAGTCATTTTGACCACTCACTGAATGCCCTGTGCTGGCCTCATTCTCTGATCCCACCTGGCTCTGCATCAGAAGTGAGCTCTCTCATCCTGCGTTCGAGAAAGCGCACGGGTCTCTTGCCACTTCTCTTTTCCGATCCATACAACCTCTTGTCTTCAAAAAGATTCTTTTGAGTCAATATGTCACATTCCCCCATTTATCCAGATCTCATCCTCAAACAAGTCACTGTCATAAAGAGTTTGGGGGGCTCTTTCTGGAAAGAAGAAATTATGAGCTGCAGCTGTGATTCGGAAAAGTTGAACCCCTGCTTAGAACAGCTAGGAAGAGGGGCGCCTGGGTGGCTCAGTCGGTTGAGCATCCAACTTCAGCTCAGGTCATGATCTCGCGGTCATTGAGTTCCAGCCCTGCGCTGGGCTCTGTGCTAACAGCTCATTGTCTGGAGCCTGCTTCAGATTCTGTGTCTCCCTCTCTCTCTGCCCCTCCCCCACTCACGCTGTTTCTCTCTTTCAAAAAGTAAATAAACATTAAAAAAAAAAAAAAAGAACAGCTAGAAAGATACTCTCGGATACATCCCCCAGGCCTGTTTTAACAAACTTTGAAAATAATAAATGTTAATAAGCTATTAAGCCGTAAGCGTAGGGGAGGAAGGCTGCAAATCAAGAAACAAAGTCAAAAGGGACTTGAACCTTGAGTAATCTGTGCCCACTGGAGATGTGATCAGCAGTTTCTGAGTTCTTTCCTGCTATGGACCCTACGGACGGTCTGAGGAAATCTGGACACCTTCTCCATACTTAAAGCATACTGGATAAGAAAGCGACATTAAAATGCAGTTATCAAAGTGTATTTCTTTTAAGGATGTGTATGCAATGATGTGTTTCATCAGGGACACATCAAATAACAAGGGGCACCAGGTGTAATGATGAATGTCAGTGCCAAGAGCTCAGAGGAGTGCAAACTTCATTTCAAAATACCTTCAGTACTTGAAACTGATAAGAAAACGTCTGTGGTTGTCATTACTGGAAAAGCCACAGGCACTAGCAAAATGCGTTGTGATTAGTTGCCTACACACATAATTGAGGGAAATGCCAAATTGCATGTACTCCTTGAGAAAATAAAGATGTTTCCCCATCCACCTTTACAGCCCCATAATGATCAGATTTTTGCCAAGATTTCCCAGTAAAATCAAGTGGACTTCCTTGAAATTAAATAAGTAAGTAAGTAACTAAGTAAATAAATAAATAAATAAATAAATAAATAAACAAACCAACCAACCCACCTCGGCCCTGGTAGAAGATCAAACCCATGTAGAATCCAAATGTTTTGCTCTGGTCACCGCAACTCCAACTCCGGGAACTTTCTAACAAACCACGCAGACTCCCAGAGATTTTTCTTTTATTGCGTTTCACCCTTTCTATTCTTTCATTATTCGGCATAAATATTCAAGCCAACCATGCCTCCCTGGGACCTCTCAGCAATCCAGGGGAAGGAAATCTGGCAGAGAGGATGAATAACAAACCACGAGAGAAGACTTTTACCCTTTTTAATGTTCCTTAGCCTCGGAGTGCTAAATAATTATTCGGCTTTAGAGGAGAATAGCGTGAATAGTGCCCCAAAGGAGGCCTCAAACTTACCAAGGGGGGAAAAACAAAAAACAAAAAACAAAAAAACAAGATTTTCTACTGCTCCACAACATATACAAGTTTTAATGTCAACCTCTAACTGGCGCAGTATTTTTCTACCACTGGGGGCACAGCAAGTCAAGAGTACCTTCTGATTGGCTAACTCAGAACAACATCTGCAAACCAATGGGAAAGAAACATTAGGAAACATCCAGTGACTATAATAGCCCCTTCTTCAGACCGGCTTTTTACACAACAGCCCCTTCTCTAAACACGTGTGGGCGCGGGAAACGGGGCGGCAAGGCTCGCGCCAAGGCCAAGACGCGCTCGTCGCGGGCTGGGCTGCAGTTCCCGGTGGGCCGCGTGCACCGCCTGCTCCGCAAGGGCAACTACGCCGAGCGGGTGGGGGCCGGCGCGCCGGTGTACCTGGCGGCCGTGCTGGAGTACCTGACGGCCGAGATCCTGGAGCTGGCGGGCAACGCGGCCCGCGACAACAAGAAGACGCGCATCATCCCGCGCCACCTGCAGCTGGCCATCCGCAACGACGAGGAGCTCAACAAGCTGCTGGGCCGCGTCACCATCGCGCAGAGCGGCGTCCTGCCCAACTGCTCCCCAAGAAAACCGACAGCCACCACAAAGCTAAGGGCAAGTGAGGAGTTACCCACTCACGGTCCCTGCCCCTAACAGTCAAAGGTTCTTCTCAGAGCCACCAAACTTCTCGAGAACTGTAGCCCTAGTGACAGGAGCTTACAGATTAGAATTGCAGGGAGAGGCGGCAGGTCCCCCTAGAGCCACTGAATTCGAAAGCCGCGGACCAATCACATGCTCCGGCGGGAGTGTTTGAACAAGAGGGGAGGAAGGAAACTAAAAAGGCTGACGACGGATGAGTGTTAAGACTCTTCCACTTGAAACAGAAAAAAGTGCCTTAAAGATACCAGTTAAGCTCTTCCACTTGAAATAGTTGGGTGGCTCTGAAAAGAGCCTTTGAGAACTCGGAGGCAGGACATGCCGCTACAACCTTCACTTCTTCTTAGGCGCAGCTTTCTTTGCCTTTGTCGCCTTAGGCTTGGCAGCTTTGGACTTGGCCGCTTTGGGCTTCGGGGCCTTGGCCTTGGCGGGGCTCTTGGCCGCCTTCTTGGGTTTGGCCGCTTTCACCTTCTTCGGGCTCTTGGCCACTTTCTTGCCCGCAGCCGCCGCCGCCGCGGGCTTCTTCGCCTTCTTCGGGGTCTTCTTGGCGCTCTTCTTGGGGGTGCCGGCCCCCGCGGCCTTCTTGGCTTTCTTGGCCGCCCCGGCAGCCTTCTTGGGCTTGGCCGCGCCCGCCTTCTTGGCTTTGGGCTTGGCCTCCCCGGACGCCGCCTTCTTGTTGAGCTTGAACGAGCCCGAGGCGCCCGTGCCCTTGGTCTGCACCAGGGTGCCCTTGCTCACCAGGCTCTTGAGGCCCAGCTTGATGCGGCTGTTGTTCTTCTCCACGTCGTAGCCGGCGGCCGCCAGCGCCTTCTTGAGCGCGGCCAGGGACACGCCGCTGCGCTCCTTGGAGGCGGCCACGGCCTTGGTGATGAGCTCGGACACCGGCGGCCCGGACGCCTTGCGCTTCCCGGCGGCAGCGCCGCTCTTCTTCGCCTTCTTCTTTACAGGTGCCTTCTCTGCGGGTGCAGGCGCCACAGGAGCGACTGGCGCGGTCTCCGACATCCTTCCGCGTTGCCAACTAGGACAAAAAGTAAACTCAAACTGTCAGGGCGGCGCGTCTCGGAGGCCGGCGGCGGGGGGTTTATATAGCGAGTGGCTGAGTGATGATTGGTTGCCTGCGCCGTGCGCCGCGCCGCTCAGAAGGGCTCCTCCGCTCTGCAGTGTGGCTGTGTTTCTTTCCCCTTAAAAAAGAAGAAAAACGTAAGAAATCTGGGCATGAAATAATTAGAGATTTGGGGGAAACGGATCCGAGAGTGTTCAGGCTTCATCCCTGCCTTATTTGCTATCCCTAGTTTCAAAACCAGTAACCTGAAACTTTCCTGATTCCCCCAACTCTCTTTAAAACTTCGGTCAAATTGAGACAACTTTCAGATTTTCCTTAAAAATACTATTTCTCTCTGTTCCCATTGCACGTCTGTCTTCCAGGACATGGATCTGCACCTTCTTTTCTTTGCAAATTTATATAAGTAAGCTCATTTTTATTCGAATATACAAGGAAAAACGCTTTTTTCTCGCGAGCAGTAGCACAACTCTCCCGCAGTTGTTTGCACTAAGCCCTGGGAATTGGCAAAGGGATAGAAAATTCTACGTACAAGATGGATAACTATTTTTTTTAATAGAATCTTTTTTAAGTCTTTGAGTGACCAGTGTGTAAACTGGATTTGATCCCCGTATTTGGGGGATTTAAACATTTCAGGAAGGATGGGGGGCGAGGTGGCTCCATGGGTTTTCCAGATAAACAGTTCTTAATAGCAGCTTTCCGAAAATAGTACTATAATAGGTTTTTCAGACCTAGGATCGGCATTATAGATCAACTGCAAAGAGGAAAAGAGAATCATGAAACAATAGAATGGCGGGTCTACATCATATGAGTTGAAGAATAGAAAGTTACCTGTTTATATCCCAACCGTCTCCTTGAAACTAAATTACTTAATGACAGGCAGCCTAAGACTTTTTAACTCCAATATTTAACATAGAATTTTGTACATGTCTCCTGTATTTCAAAATGAAATTTAAAGTGCAAATGTTACTTGACTGTTTTTCACCATTGCAAGTAGGGACACAAGATTAGAAAGAAAAAAATGTCATTGAAATCACTTTCTGCACTTTCATAATTCTCCCTGGGCTTTTGACTAACAGGCTATGAACTACGCTGTGACAACCTAACTTACTTGGCTACCTTTGCCCACCAAAGGAGTTGAACAAACATTTCACGGCAGGTATGACCCACTTTATTATTCCATCTCTTGTAGTTTGCAACACAACAGAGCGAATGAAATTGGGTAAATATTGGATAATGAAACACAAAGTTAATATTATCAACCAAATAATCAGATAATGAAATTAAACTACATGCTTGTGAAAATAAATATTTTGGTGTTATGTTTCTTCTAACAAATATCCTTCTTTCCAAAAATGTAGTTATTCCAGCTTCCATCCAATGATGATTTAAGAATTTTCTCACATAAATCCAAAATAGGATAATCAGTTTTAAAGATGTCGTCTCTCCATACTTAACTAATTTCATAAAAGTCACTTGGCTGGCACTGACTGAATACAAGTCTGTGGGACTTGAGCCCGTGTTATATACCAAATACAAATACTGTGTATAAAGAGGTAAACTTACAGGATGGAATATGCAGCATTTAGTTCTCCCTCGGCAGGCATTTTAGGAGTGTCTAAAAGGGACTGTTTGTCGTCCTCTATAGCGTCATTGGCAATAGCAATGGCCCCAAACATTTTACAGGCCCTTTTCAGACCGGAGCCTACTAGCTAATATCATCTAGACCTAAAGATAGAATTTAAATTGAGATTTTTAAAAGTTTACCATTTGGGTCATCATGGTAGTCAAAACATCAATTGTTGAATAATCAGTGGAATTGTCCCCTAGGTTGCAAAGACTCAATTTCAGATAGGTGAAAAGTGGGGGCCTGGGTGGCTCAGTCGGTTGAGCATCCAACTTCGGCTCAGGTCATGATCTCACGGTTTGTGAGTTTGAGCCCCGCTTCGAGCTCTGTGCTGACAGCTCAGAGCCTGGAGCCTGCTTTGGATTCGGAGTCTCCCTCTCTCTTTCTGCCCCTCCACCACTCATGCTCTCTCTCTGTCTCTGAAAAATGAATGCACCTGAAAAAGAAAATAGGTGAAAAGTTGCTACAGCAGATGTCACCACTGCATTCTTGTACAACTCTTACTGGTTCGCACATAAGGGAGAGGACATCAGGGCTATTCCCTTAATTGTAGGTAACATCTGCCCTTCCTAGAGAAGCAATAGTTGAGACTTGATTTCACCTGAAAAGTTCTTCCCCAAATGTTTAGACAAGGATGGGGTTTGGCTGTTCTAGTTACTTCTACTGTCTGAGACCCAGGTACTTATCCTCTCTGTAACTGTAGCATGGACGAGGATCTAGAAAGCTGGCTCACCCCCAGGTATTATACACTTGAAACGTCCCCCCTTTTATTTTCGTAGCCCACACAAAAAAGGTTGCGTTTATTACTTTTGAAGCCCAAATCTGCATATATGTTAAAACAATTGATTTTTCCGTTAGACCGAGACCTGAACCGTTTATTTTATACATGTAAAAATAACTGAGAGGAACTCCAGTTAGATGGGTGATGGGTAGCTCACTTATGAATTCATGTTCTCCCCATTTTGGTGTTAACCTCCCTCTCCTCATAGTAAACCACTGTGAGAGGTCTAGATAGTGCTCAGCAGGTCAGCCCACAGCAGCTATGCTTAAATGTTCCAAAATTCAGTGAATTTCGAAGTTCAGGGAGAAAAGGGACTATGTTGAATAAATACCAAACGAGTGAATTAAAAAGAAAGGCTATATAGCAGATAGAGCATTGTGTTAGAACCAGATGTGTTCAGAAGGACCACAAGAAATCACATCTATTTTAATTTCCTATCACGATGATCTCATCTGAGGACACTCTCCCACTTGAAACTCCTCTCCAAGGTGAACCATATCTCATTGTATTTCCTCAGAAGCGCACTACAATGTCAAAGTTGTATGACAATTTCCTTTTTATATGTTCTTCTCTATCTAGATCTGGTATACCCAGAAGGTGCCTACGCTCTATCACACTTTGAAAATATTCCAACCCCCACTTCCTGCAGTAAGCCTCATTTTCAAATACCCTTCCCAGTCTGGACTAGAAGTTCCTCAGAAGAAGTTCACTGTCACAGCACAACCCAAGAGAACTTACATGCAATGATGAAAACGTTCTGTATCTGTACTGTCACACAGACAGCCACTACCTACATACGCTATTGAGCAGTTAAATGTGGCTGGAGTGACCAAAGAGATCTTGAATTTGATTGAATTTTAATTAATGGAAATTTAAATGAGCACATGTGGCTAATGGCCAACATTGGGAAGCCCCACTTTAAAACCACTCTTCTCAAACTTGAATAAGCGTACCATCCACTTGAAGATCCTTTTAAAAATGCCCTATCACTTCAGGAGACTTGGCGCGGGGCCGGAAAGTCTGTGTGTCTTAAGCTCCCAAGTGATGTTCATGTTGTTGAGATACAGCTGGTCCACCCATTGCTGCCAGGCAGAAACTAGTATTCTAAGCTGATGTCTGACTCCTCACTGTTTACTTTTCTCTTCCCTCTCCTAAGCTTTCAGTTCTTTGAAAGAACGTGTAGGATGGTCTTTGCAGACCTGGTATTTATACACCGATCTTGGCATGTAAGTTCTTGAACGAAGAAATTAGTGATTCTCCTTTGGTGCCTGGGACGTCACTGTGTGTTAAGTCTGCAGGTAGCTGTAACTGAGCTGTATCTCAAATAGTGTCTAAGGGAAACGAATAATCTTCTGACTGCCTATATCGTAAGTACCAGCAGAGAAGGAATTTTTAATTACCTTTTATAGCACGTAGAAGTCAGGTTCTTAATGTGAATATATGGAAGATGCGTAACTGTTGGAGTTTGTCTATTAAGCATATCAATGCGTCATCTGTGTGACGCCTTAATTCACTAACCTTAACTCACTGGACGAGTTTCAGAGTTTCTTAGCGGTATTTTTATTAATCCTGTTAATTTGCAAACTTTTACTCAGCATGATGTATCTGCAATGTTTTACTGACATAGATCTGTGGTAGGTGGCAAGATCCTAAGACCAGAATTAGAAGACCTCAGTTCTACCCGGTAAAATACCACTTATGAGAACAGGGTTAGCTCTCCAAGCCTGGGATTCTTCATCTTTACAATGCAAATAGTGCTTTATAAATCTGGAATCAGAATAGAAATTCAATTCACATTGGCTCCCCTTCCTAGAGTTCCTTATCAAGAAGGCTGAAAATCACGTAAACGTATATGTTCTGCCATAGGGGAATGATTGTTCCATGATCCACCAAATTTAAATAAATGCTGCTAAAATTGTAAGTCATTCTTTTACTTTTAAAAGAAATGCCACATCTAAAAGCTAATTTTAATTGTTGACAAGTTGTAATTTACAACTACAAATTACAATTACAAATTACAAATTGTAATTTACAAATTACAATTACAAATAACAATGCCTCGCTTTCATAGGCACCTGTAGGGTCACCGCCTCCTTTCTATAAATGGTAAGAGGTTACGAGACTTCTCCAATGCCGATTGTCTGAGACCCCCTCCCGCAGGCACAGGACTAGCCACAGAAAGCGACAGCTCTGACCCGCGCGAGGAAACGGACGCCAGACCAGCCCACCCCCCTCCCGGCGCCCCGCCCCGCGCTCCGCGCCCCGCCCCCTCAGCCGCCGCCCGCGAGGCGGAAGTGGGAAGAGGCGGGGCAGAGACTCGTTCCCGCCCGCGCCGTTCCGGTTTCCTAAAAGGTCCGCGACCGTGGTATATAAAGGGCTGCAGCCGCAGGTAAGGTACCACACCGTGCGACGACTCGCTACTGCAGCTATGTCAGGTCGCGGCAAGGGCGGGAAGGGCCTGGGCAAGGGGGGCGCCAAGCGCCACCGCAAGGTGCTGCGCGACAACATCCAGGGCATCACCAAGCCCGCCATCCGGCGGCTGGCCCGGCGCGGCGGCGTCAAGCGCATCTCCGGCCTCATCTACGAGGAGACCCGCGGGGTGCTCAAGGTGTTCCTGGAGAACGTGATCCGGGACGCCGTCACCTACACGGAGCACGCCAAGCGCAAGACGGTCACGGCCATGGACGTGGTGTACGCGCTCAAGCGCCAGGGCCGCACCCTCTACGGCTTCGGGGGCTAAGCTTTGCACCTGCAGCCTCCGCGCAATCCCAAAAGGTCCTTCTCAGGGCCACCCACTCGGTCACACGAAGAGCTGTTAACCGAGGAAGGTTTGTCCGTGTTCCCTTTAATTCTGACTGCGGGCGGGCAGCCACGTGACCTGGCCGCGGTCATGTGCGCGGAGCCAGGGGAGGGAAGCCTCAGCTGGGAGAATGCTGCATCCAGTGCGTGTGTTCTGGCCGCTTTATGGCGCGGGCTTTCTCGCCAGCGACTGCACTCTTCTCCATTTTCCTGTCCGGCAGGCAGCTGGCCTTGAGGCCACGCCGGACCTGCCGTGCTGCCGGTTTTCTGACACAGAGTTGGTATTTGTCCTCATTGTTAACAGGGCCCACGAATACCACCAGTAAGTTTTAATTGGACAAGTTTGCTAGGTGCATATCCTAATCTGACAGTGATGGCCCAAATTAAGTCTCCATATTCCTCTACTGGCTCCTTCCCATCTCTCTCTATCTGTATGTCTATCACTATATATATCTATATCATTCAGTATCAACTTAACCCATACCTCTATCATGCACTACGTCCTTAACATTTTATTAAATCTCCAAGTAATCTTGAGTAGGTCCACGTCTCAGTCACTCTTCATGATTATGTGACTTCACTCACTAAAAATACCCTTGCCGAGCGCCTAGGTGGCTCAGGCGGTTAAGCGGTTAAGCGTCAGACTAACTCAAATCATGATCTCATGATTCGCGCGGGTTCGAGCCCACGTGGGGTTCTGCACTAACAGCGCAGGGCCTGCTTGGAATTCTCGCTTCCTCCTTCTCTGCCCCCCCCCCACTTGCACGCATTCTATCTCCCCAAAAATAAAGTAAGCTTAGAAAAAAAATACCCTTGCCATGGTTACCAGTGACCTGCTAATTGCCAGATCCAAAATCACACAAAAAAATGTCATCCCTGCTACAGCTAATCCTGTTGCATCACTCCTCCCTCCACAATCTCCCAAGTTTCTGTGGTAGTTTTCTTCCTGACCCAGATCCTGTGTTCTCCGTGATTCTTCGGTTTGCTTTCTGGGCCCTGTTCCTCTGCTTGTGATTCTTTCCAATGAACAAATGGGTGTTCTCTTCACATCAGACCAGAGATCCTCCTTGAGCCATCTCTTCCCAACTGTTCCATCGATGGTGAGACATGCAGGCACCCAGAAAAGAACCGAGTGTCAGCTGAAAAGTAGCAGAGTAGGCCACCCCAAAATATGGCACTTTGGCATGAGGATTATTTGAGCTAAAGGCACTTGGAAAACAGCAGATGCGAGAATGGGGCTCTGACCTTCCCATTTCTCTCTGAAAGCAGAGAATTATCCCGTGTGAAAGGTGTCACCCCTATATCAGCAAGAGAAGAACGCTTATCACCAGAAATAAGGAGTCAGGGCTGAGAGAAATCTATACAAACAGACCTTGTTAAAATAACCCCTTAACCCCCCTCTCCTACTTTTGTTTTTATTTCATGACCACTAATCTTTATTCAACCTAATCTTTGTTACAACCTAAGTATGTAAGCACTTAGGCCTAACCACTTTTTGGGGCCTTCATTTTCCTGTAAAGACCCCAGTGAACACATAAAAACATTAAATAACATTTGTATGCTTTCTCCTTGTTAATCTGTTACATGTCAGTTTCATCCTCTGGCCCAGCCAAAGACCTTGAAAGGGTAGAGGGAAGTTATGCCTCTTCTACACAGCCTTCCAATCCTATTCTCAGTGCCTTTGTATGACCGCAGGGTCCTGACAGTTGTCCGCCTGCGTCCTTCCCAGCTACAATCCCTCTGCCTCGCCGCAGGGACCTGAATGACTACACATTTCATGATGCCATCTGGGCAAGACTACAAAAAATAAAAAGCCTTCACTGGTTCTCCTAACATCTGCAGAATAAAATCCAAGTCTTGTGCTTTACCTGGTCCCGGCTCACCTGCACAAGCCATCTCCAGACCCCTTCCCCCACCCCCCCCACGGACTTCTCTAGCTGAGAATACGGAACAACTCATCCTACTTGGAACTTTCTTTTCATCAGCCATCTCCTTTACATATACTTCTTCATCCATAAAGAAACTTCGGCTCTTTTTGGAGGTTTCCAGGATCTTTTTCCTGAACCGCTCACTCGCAGGTTCGTTGCGGGGGCCCTGTACCTAAGGCTAAGGAAACACACAGCCTAACAAGGAAAACAGACAGAAGCTGAGCCTGTCTATCAGAGATGCACAAAAGAGCACTCAGCGGGAGGTAACTCAAAGCGGAAGTCAGAGTTTGGGGGTGTATGTACCTAATTTAGTAGGGGACAGGGAGGCAAGAAGGGCTCTTATGGAAAAGCAAATGACTTTTTGAAAGATACATGTACCCTAAAAGAATAGATGGCAGGTGTGATAGTCTCTGACAAAGTCTGTCTGGGTGTGGTACCAATTTCTCCTTTCCAACAAGACACTAGAGTTGCTCCTGAGGAGCGGACGGATTTTGGACAACCGAGTTGTTTTGAGAGGATCTGTGCCAAGGTCCAGCCCCAGCAGGTCCAGGGGTTCCCGAAGGATGAACGGAGTCGGCGAAAAAAAATTAAAAATAAAAAACTAAATGGACACAGACAACAACAGTGTGTTAGACTGGCTGCTTTATTGTAGCAGGGGTGGCATTATGTTTGTTATCAAATTCCTTGTAGCTGCATTATCTATGTTTCTAGGCATTACCTAATTCTAAAAATGTTCCTTTGTGTGATCACCCATAAAGGAACAACATAGTTATTTTCTTGTAACGTTCCCTCCTGCCCTTTCAAAGTCATCTAGCTCCCCACACCTCAAGTGGAACGTTTACAGGGATAGGACTTTTTAATTGTTTCTTTGAACCATTTGCAGTATAAGGAACAAAGGTTTTCGCTTTGGCATGGGGTGCGGGGAGGGAGCCAAGAGGGCCCTGGGAACTCACGCTTAATGCATTCCCAGAGAAACAATGTATGCCTAGGAACTAATGAACCATTCTGTACCTTAACCCACCAGGTCCAGTTATCCTCTGGAATGCCTCCTGGGGGCCAAGCGGGCCTAGGGGTTGGAGTAACTTGTATCCATAGATACGTTTCTTTGTTGCCGGAGTGGAGATTTCCAACCCATTTGCCCCCTCCTTGGCTGGGAAATACATGGGCCCATCCTTCCTTTAGGTAGAGAAGTCTTTATAGGGGGTGGCAAGGGCTGGATGTGGGGCCGCACAATTTCCCCACGGACAATTTCTTTCCCCAATGGTTCTTTTCCCGGGGGGGCCTGGTGTGGGCAATTCCCCAACTGACAATTCCCCGGGTACTTTCATTGGTAGGGGGGCTGCCCCGACCAACGCTAAGGTCAAATTACATGAAAGCGGGAGCACGAGAAGCTTCACTTGAACTTGAACTTGTGGGCCACCCTGCAGTCCCCATCCGTCCACCGCCCGGGCCCTGCCATCAGGCCGGTTCGATAGCTCGGCTTCCAGCAGATCTGCTTTTAGGCAAAGAGAGATTTCAGGAACCCAAATGCTTTCAACACAAAATTCATCCTTACACTTTGTATAAGCGCTTCTATAAAGCAGCACATTTTCGGGGGGCATATCCGGATCCCTTCACCCCTTTCAAGAGAACTTCGCCTGATTCTCCCAAGCCAAAAACACACCCCTCCACACCAGTACCCAACACAACTTCAGAGTCCCCTCTCCAACTTTGGTGTTACTACACCCTTAAACAGTTGTTGGTGATGACTAATACGCTTTCCCCTCGAGATTTCTGGAAGGTTTGGACAATATCTTCATCTTAACATTCTCAGGACCCAGATAAATTATTAGCACATGTTATTCACTTAGTAAATATCTGTGCAATGACTACATGATTCAGTGAAATGAATAAGCTATCAAAGGCCACAAATAAACTTTTTATACGAATTGTTCCCCTTTAAATAATATCTGCCCCCCTAGAACTTTTTCCTCTTACCATTTTCCTTTACACAAATATCAGGCTTGTGAGTGCCAATCACCACAGCAGCCTATTTATTTATTTATTTATTTATTTATTTTAATGTTTACTTTTGAGAGAGAGAAAGACAGAGCGAGAGTACGGGAGGGACAGAGGTAGGGAGACACAGAATACAAAGCAGGTTCCAGGCTCCGAGCTGTCAGCACAGAGCCTGATGCGGGACTCAAACCCGCGAACTGTGAGATCATGACCCAAGCTGAAGTCGGATGCTCAGCCAACTGAGCCCTCCAGGTGCCCCCCACCACTGCAGACTTTTAAGATGCAGATTGCAAGCCCTTAATTTGTAATGAAAATAATTTGATGGGTCCCAACCCTAACCCAAAATTTTCTCACAGAAATGCTACTTTCATAAGCTTATACATATTGAAAGCGAGCCAGTTTTTCATCACTGTTTACTGGGATAGCAATTGTTGCTATAGAATTCCTAAACTTTATGTTGCCGGCATGTGTTTATATAAGAGAAAGAAAATAAAAGAGGTATTAGCAGCAGCCTTTTAGGAGGGGGGAGCTCCACATTTGGTTTCTTTTCTTTCTTTTTTTTTTTTTTTGATCTTTATTTTTCAGAGAGAGAGAGAGAGAGAGAGAAAAGAGAGAGCGGGGGAGGGGCAGAGAACGAAGGAGGCACAGAATCCAAAGCAAGCTCCAGGCTCCGAGCTGTCAGCACAGAGCCTATCCTGGGGCTTGAACCCTGGCTCCTGATATCATGACCTGAACCAAAGTGGAGGCAACAGCTGTGAGCCATTCTTATGTTTCCTTTCTTATGTGTCATGCCAAAAAAAAAAAAAAAAAAAAAAAAAAAACCAAAAAAAACCCCCCAAAAAAAACGGTTTTTCAGTTCCGTAGCTAGGGTTACACTTACCTACAATGTAGATTTCTAAAGAGATGTGTTGTTGGCAGATTCACTTATACAGTGTGAAAAAAAGCTATGGCAACAGATCTTTTATGAAAATAATCACCCAAATTAATCCAAATTACTTTGAGTGAAAGTGGTATG